ATTGAGCCAATTTACTTAAAAGTTGGTATTAACTTTTAAAGAGTCGTTTAAAACTATAATTTAATTTTCAATTTCAGCCTCCATATTGGGATAAAAGTTTTTAGGGGGATGGAGCTCTTATGGTTAGTTGCACAGACTTACTTGAAAATTGACAAGAGCCTGTGGACAGCTACTTAAAACAAAGGTGCAAAATTTGTTACACACTTGTTTCCTGTGAAGTTTTATGGTTACTAACTGTTATTTATATTTCATGTCTTTGCAGCCCCTTGAGATTCTCCACAAACTTTTCAGTGGGCCTGACCCATAATTTGAAAAACTTATCAGTAGGCTACCTAAACAATATAAAAAATGTTTATTGCACTGCCAGCACTGGTTCTCTCTGGTCTTTTTTAATACAGGTATATTAGACTGTTTAATAAAAATAGTTTGAATACATTTTAGAATGAATTAATCGTCGACCATCCTATATCAAAATTTACACTAAAATAATTTTGTAAAATATTTAAATGTCAATTTATAACTTTATGTGTGGATATCATCCAACTTATTTTGTTAAATAATACCCATTACACATAACTTTAAAATCTGTTGATGTCACGTTTTATGTATGGGCTGGATTCTTTACAGTAGGTGTCTGCGACCTGTTGGCGATATATTCCAACAATATACAAACAGCACACAGTCCACTTGTTTTAAAATAATATACTAAAGAAGTCAAACGTAAATACAAATGTTCGTTACAATGCTGGTTACCACAATTGTATCCAGGGTTTTAAATAATGGCCACTTTCCGTCAAAGTTCAATTACTATAGAACACAATTGACTGGATGAATTATTCTTCTGTACTCTGTTATTACAATACAATCTGCGATAGTTTCACTTTAAAATTCGCCACTATACACTCTTTAAGGCTAAATTCACAATCACGCAGTCTAGATCTATATGTCGAATTAAATTTCCGATGCGTATGTTTACCCCAACAGAGGTCTAGAATCCATACGCTACTAGATATTATGATGCAATAATACTCAATTATAACAACAATATAAACTCAGAGGGTTCAAGTAACATGACACAATAAGATAACAATCACCAATTCATAACAATTGAACTACACAAGGTATGATTCGTAAACAAACCTGCGATAAACTATCACTTCTAAAAATAATCAAATTTAACACATGCGGTATACTTAAACTGAAACAGTTGTGTGTATCTAAAAGTTGATAAAGAAATACATGGCATTTTGTTTAAGTACTACAAATAATCTCAACATTGTTTCCAACACCCACTTTTTGTAATTTTAGATTTATTTCATTTCTTAATCACCACAGAAAAAAGTTTTGTGCTCATAATGTATTCATGTTATAGGTTTTAGTTGCACTGTGGTTTATTTAATTTTTGATATTATATGAATATTTTATCGCATTGTCACATTACAAGTTTAGAATGGAGCAAGCTCAGTTATATGAATGGGAGGTTTCTAGTCTAATATTTGGGGAAAGGGATGCAGTTATTTTTTTATAAATAGATTAAAAAGAAACAAGTCTCAGTGTGAAGTTGAACAAAAATAGAAACTTTATTTAAGAGGTAAGCTAAAGGTGAAGTAGAACAATGGCTGATTGTCCTGTGGACAGAACTATTGTGTTGCTGTATTTGAAAGTAAAATTAGCTGGCTAAGATTAAATAAAACAATTATTTAAATAAAAGTAAAATGAAACAAACCATATCTTATGGAGTTATAATTGTGCTTAGAAGCAAGTAAAAAAAATATTGATGAGCTTACCACGGAAACTGAAAAAATAACATGTCACAGAAAAACAAAAACTAGCTTCTACCTTAAGTCTTGACGCTTTCAGTATCAGAAACGAATATAGCTAAAGATGTCAAACCTATTTCGTGATGCACATTCTCTCTGTAGCTGAAAAACCATAAAATTGGATCACTAAAAGTATTTGGAGATAGATCTCTGCTCAGTGTGACATTCACATGTAGTATACAACACGGAGGGTTGTGTGTTATATTAAAACAATAAAATACAAATCACGTCATAATCATTGCTGACCTAAAAGTCACGGTGGAATTAAATTTTTTACACTTAGTATTTTGTAAGCAGTGTTATGCCACTGAAACTTATCACTTCTGGAAAGGGCATTTAACAGCCTTTTCTTATGGAAAATATACACTCACTGTGTCATTCAGCCTCAGTTCATAAAGGAGTGTTCAGATCAGGGATTTAGAATTTATAAGACGGGGATATCCCTTGTACTTAATGTCATTGACAAACAAAGAAATGTGGATAAACTAGAGGTATTATGACCATTTAGAAACAGACATGTAACAAGCCCTACATCAGTCGTGGTAAGCAAAGGACAACATCTTGTAACAGGTGAGAATCCACAAACACAAAGTTCAGTGGCAAAAGAGCTGACCCAGGCAACATAAAACAGCAAAACCAATAAAGATCTCAATCTAGAAAAGCAACCCCAGTGAAGTGTACACAAGTTGCTTCCATTATATACCTGTTCAACTGTCGCGTACACCAAGCAACTGGAGAATAAAATGAGTATTCATACTATTACATCTGAAGACATACTGGTCAAATCACCAGATGCAGTGCCTAGACATTCCTCTGTGATCGGACTTATCGAAATGGGCATTGAGAAACAATCACCCTCATCACAAGACATTAAAAAAAGCAGTAGTGTGCTTTAGACAAGGTTGGATGCAGCGACATGGTGAATCTCCAAAATCATTTTAATATAACATACTTAACCTCTGTAAAACTATCCCATGAAACACTAGACAGCCACTTTGACCAAATCTTTGTACAGAAAGTAACAAGTGTGGTTAAATTACCACATATAATAATCAGATTTATCATGCTTTGAACTAGAACTTTAGAAAGAAAAAAATACAAGTATAAAATACAGAGTATATGAGATCGAGACGTGGTATGTGCGGACCGATGTTGAGATTTAAAAGACTACCTAAATGATCTATAGAAAACAGTCCATCAGACAGATACACGTGGAGTATCACCGAATGTCTTTAATAACTGAGTGTATTAAATGTGAAAATACTATAAACTTTGTAAAAGAATAGAAACAGAAGCATCACAATAGACAAATAATCAACCACATCAAAAACAGCAAAGTGGAAGTTATTATTGCAGCGAGCAATTAAAAGAACACCATATCTGTGATTGCAAGCAAGAAACAAAAAGTAACCAAGGTCCCAGGAGAAACACACTAAAAATTTCTCTGAAAGTTTTAATAATGAGAATTCACTCTAACTTTTGAGAAGTTCTGTTCAACTTGTTTTTTTTTAAAGAGAACCAAGGCTTGCAGTGGAAGGCCTGCCTTTGTCTCGCGATATTTCTCCTTGTTGGTAGCGTACAACTGTTCAACTTTCCTCTTTATTTACAATAATTCTATCACTGTGACAACCGTGTACTTCAATTTTGTTTACCGTATTCCAACTTCAACACTGTGTGTTAATTATTTTATTTCACCTGTCAAAAATCACTGCACATTAAATCCACGAAACTATTGTTTTGTAGAGATCAGGCAACTGTATGCAGGTATAGTCTTGACCTGCCACACAGATACAATTTAATCTTTTTTTTTTAGCTTTGGCAACTTTGTACGAGGTTACTATCAAACCTCATTGCCATGGAAACAATTTGGTGTTGCTAGGGGGTTCATCCAGAAACTTATTGCCAAAGGTATCCTTGCAATCGGCTGCTGCCATGCTGAGGTGCTTTACTGCAAGCTTAGAATTCCACCTGATAGATGGCCCAATTGGTTTTATATTAGGTCGAATTAAGGAAGCAACTCAGCAACTGGCTGTCCTGCTACAGATTTGGTCAGGCTGTAGGTAATCTACAGCAGTGGTTACCAACCACCAGTCAGTCCTTGGATCAGTGCTGGTTCCCAAGACAGAAAAAGTTTTAAAATAGAGGTTCCTTAGTATATTGTTTAACAATGTAATTTTAAAAGTTAATATTGTATAAAATGGTCCGTAAAACACTGGGATGTGAACTAGCTGGTACTCATTTGGAAGACATTAATCTACAGCATCCAATGCTGGCCCATTAAATTAAGTATATGTTCTTGAAGTCCAGTAATCGTATGTAGCCACCTGATAAAACTACCTAAGGAAGTAAACTAAATCTTCTTTTGCTGAACTCTTGAACTGTTTATGAAGTAGTTTATTTTAAGCATATATTCACGTATAAAAACTCCATGTTTTAGGTACATAACATTAAGTTACACATATTTACTTAGTGTATAATATGAAAAGTAAAATTCTGAAGTACACATAACTTTAAAATACGGGTGACAAAATGTAAGCTAAAATTAAATGCATATCATAATTTAATATTTCTTTAAACTTGAATGTCCTTAAGTAACATGGATTTTCCAATGTCACCTTAAAGCTGTAAATGAAATTAAAAGGAATTACGAAGGATTCTTGTATTATGTCACTCCTAGAAACCATAAAAAAATTACAAAGGATCCTTGTAATGTGTAATCCCTTAGGACAATATATATAAAACATGCAAGAAAATAAAACAAATCTATGTATTGACTCCTACAGATTATGTGTGAAGTACATATTTTAATGGATTCTCCTAGTCACTTATGAAAGTATGAGTTACATGTGGCTACATGTGTGAAAACAAAACACCCATGATATGAGTCTTCTATATCTGAGAGAGAATAAATCAGCTCTTTAAACCATATCTATCAAAATCAACAGTAAATCTATTACTTTTATCACATATAAAAAAATCTCAATCATATTCCAATACTACCTGACTGAATGAAAAAAATTAACTGAGTCATAAAGAATTGTGGGAATTTATACAAGTTGAGTTATTCTGGTTGTTAAGTGCTGAAGCTTTACTCATAAAAATTAAAATTTAAGTAAGAGTTAACTGACATGAGACGGAAGTATGTGTTCATCGTTTTCCAACAAAAACTAAAGAAAGAAATACTTTTTTGGTTAAATATTTATTTGATACTAAAATATACTGAGGCTACATTAATACAACTCACTAGCTAACAGACAAGGTTAGCATAAGGACAATAACCATGCACACAGCTGTAGTCAAACTGAATGCTGAGCACTTACAATATGGTTTATAAAATCTAAATATACAACAGAGAAGGTTTTACAAAGACTAACTCAAACAAAGATGAAAAACTGATCAAGTTCCAGAAGTTTGATTATTTATTGGTCACTAATTCTCTTTCAACCAGAGTTGATGATTGGAAGTCTTGCAACATTCAGTCTGTACAAACCATACTTAACACTAACAACTGTTCATTTGTGATCTTTTCTTTATTGGTTGGCAAGTGTTAAGTGGCACAGGTTTTGAAACATATAGTCTGTGTAAAACCTGCTCAACACTAACAACTGTTCATTTGTGATCTTTTCTTTCCTGGTTAGTAAGTGTTGATTGGCAAAGATTTTGAAACATTCAGTTTGTGTAAAACCTGCTCAACACTAACAACTGTTCATTTGTGATTTTTCTTTCCTGGTCGGCAAGTGTTGATTGGCACAGGTCTTGTACATTAAGTCTGTGTAAAACCTGCTCAATTTTAACAACTGAGCATAAACAAAGCTAACTGACAGACCAAAGATGTGGAAAAAAATCCAAAATTAAACAGTCACTGAAGCTGACAAAAAGCATAAACAACTGGTCAATGCTACAAGAATTCAAATATTCAGTCTTGTCACAACAACAACTTTATAAACAAACCAATTCCTTACCTATAAAATATCTTTTTTTTTCTTTTCACTAACATTAACTTCAGCTGTAAAATTATTGACAAAACATGTCAGCTTAAAATTGATATATATCATAAAAACTAATATATTTTTAAGGCTAAAACGAGCAAACACGAGTTGCTAGTCTAAATATACATAAAACACATGGTGGATTTTAAACAACTGTTTTGATACAAATAAAAAAACACTGGTAAATTATTTTCTCAATAAAAACATTATCCCACCCACTAAGTTCTTCAAAGTGGTTTTAACAGTGACAAAAATACAAAAAAAGTATAATCTTTAAACAATTATTAAATCCTTTAAATCATTTATAACTGTTTTTCACATCAACAATTAGGGTTTATCTAGTACTGCCCCATGAAAATAAAAAATTTTTTTTTTACACAACAAGGAATATCTTACTGGTGAATTACTTATACAAAGTAGGTATTTGTACAACTGGTACTTTCCTACTTTTAATGCCATTATGCTATTGTGCTTGCATCAATTCTAACCTTCCAGTAAAGATGTTACACATACCTAGTACTGCCCTATCAATAACCTTCTCACAACAGATACCGTACCCATAGCCAGTATTACTCTAACAACAAACATAATGTACATAATCAGCACTATTCTACTTATAAAATGTCTCGTAATAAATATCTTATACGCATAGAATATTCTCTGTTACAAATGCTTTGCACTAAACTTTGCTTATACTTTGCATTTCTGTATTAGTTCTGTAATTACACACACTAAACACCCAATGTTAAACCTTATGGTGCAAATTTCACAAAAAGGGGGGGGGGGACTTGCACGGACTTTGTGATCTCCATACTTGGTTTATAAATCTTTCTTTTGATATCTTGTTTTTAAACATTTATACTTGCTGCATCTGATTGTGGATGTTTACAAAACTCAATTCACAGAGTTGTAACTTCACCAGGAAACTACAAATATCTTTCACCTTTAATGACAAAGGGATGTCACAAACACTTCTTTATTTAAATAAACAATGAACTAGCATATTTTAACTTGCTCAAAATCTTGCAGTTTCATATGTCTATCATCAGAAGGTAATCATTTAAAATGTTTTTCCCATTTACACCTATTACCTTAATCTGATTTCACTGTCACCGAGCAAAGCATACAAACATCTTATCTCTCTCTCTCTAGGACACTAGCCATAAATAATATAAAGATTTTGTCTTTCATGGCAAATATATTTTTAGGACTTATTCACTTGAACATCATGCTACATACATGAAAATACATCATAAAGCCTAACAGAAATCATTTTTCTAGCACAAAATACATCTCGATGCCCCCAAACATGCCCAGGGCTCTACCAATTCTCTATGCCCAAAAACAAAATATTTTTTTTTTATATTACAGATCTAAGTTACATGTCTAACAATTAATTAACTTTTACTCTCATAAAGTTTCCTTTTCATGGTATCAATCACTTACAGTAGTATATGAACAACCATCTACTGAAGCCAGTGAATGAATAATTTGCACAAATTTAGTTAATTGAAGCCAAAAGTACACAAGCACCAGTACTACTTTAAAATAAGTGAGCATAACTTATTTGTCATGCTTTACATCTGGGCCACAAAATATTTATAACTAGATGTATAGGTCATTTGTGAATAATTTTTTTGCATCATTGAAAACACCATTCACGAGTATGTCTAATTTGAATGAAATCACAGTAACAAAGAACAAGAGAATTACACCATAAGTAAAATAACGTTGTACCAAGTAGTAAGTGAAATAAGTGAAAGAAAATGTTATTCAAAAATTCCTTAAGGCAAAAAGTGACATTGTACAATATTAAACATCCATACATGAACCATGTGTTGTACAAGTTCATATGTCTAATATATGTGAACCTGCTATGAAGAAAAACAAAATGTGAGAGTAGGAAAAACAACAATTGCAAACACAGTATTCCAAATAAATAGCTACAAAAGTTCACATGGCTTGAATGGAATGAATAATATATATTGATGGGGTACAAGGTTTGTTATTAGTTTCTAAACATTGCTCATCAAACTAGTTTTTATTTCATTGACACAGTGATACATATGTGGGAGTGCATAACAAAACAAAGAATAGCTTGTGCAAAGCTTGCACCACACTGCAGAAGTGTTAAAACTGTATCTAGTGGCATAGTTGGTATTAATTCATTTACATGTGTGGTGGCAGTAAAAATAACAACTGTAAAGCAGTAGAAGAGCAAATTATCTATATTCAGTACGTGCATAATAGTAAACTTACAACAAAATGTGTAGGTTTAGTGGATTATGAAGTATAGATACAAAATGCATGCATGAAGCTATTATTAAAGCTCAAAAGATGTAAAAGTAAATAAGGAATGAAAGCTAGGGAAGATAATGGATTTGTATATGAAGAAAAAATCTGGTGCTGTGGCACAAATGACACATCCTTTCACTGTATTGCACACAACCTTGAACTTGCTATAATTCTCTTTTCCAAAACTTTTGGTGACAGTTGGAATAGGTAAGCCAGTTTTAATAAGTTACAGCTTGAATATAAATATTTTAAATTCTGTGGCTGGTTAGCCAGCATCAAGCTGTACTGAAAAATGTTGTATTGATTAATGTGCATCTAGAAAATACGAAAATTAAGCACAAAATAAAAGCTACTTAAATGAACTCAGCATTGTTGATTTATTAGTCAAACCGACATTAGTTGCATCGTAAAACATTTAAGTTCTACAAAAGAAACCACTGTCATACTTAAAAACTCTGAGAACTATTATGAATGCTTTTGCAATATTTGGAATTAATGAATTTTTACAACTAATTGGTCATTTTAACCAAATTTTTAAGTGCTATTGAAAAAGTAAACTTGCTCAAAAGAAGTGAAATACAGCTTCTCATTCAGAACCAAGCCAGGAATATTACTTGCAATATGCTTGCAGTAAAGCTACTAGATCAGAACTAAGCCAGGAATATTACTTTAACTGCAAATAAGACAAACAACAGCATATAGCTATCTGTTCAAACCAAGCAAAGAATATCAATTTAAAATTGCAAATAAAATGAGGAATACATATAATATGCTTGTAGTAAACAGCCATCTGCTCAGAATCAAACCACTGAACAATCAAAATATATTCTACTGTTAAATGAATTGTGTTGGTTCTGTTTCAAGCACTCCTGCAAGTGAAAGGAGATTTAGTTTAATGAACAGGCAAAAAAATTCACTTCACTCTTGCCTTTCAATAAAAACCACAAATGACCACACGGTATTAGCATAAATGGAACTCCCACTGTTGAATTCCAGCCATGTACAACAGTAGAACACTGGATGCTGGAACTCTCAGCACAAGAAACATAACAGTTGAGAAGTCACCTATCAGAGTAAAATCATAATGGGATGGAAGTCTGGGCAAGTACAATTTTATGTCAGGTACTTAAAATTTTGTGCTATGTGCCTGACAGGCATATTACAAGGTTTGGGGATTTTTTTTACTTCTGCAAATCACAGAAGAGAGTGCTTATAAACTATTTTTTTCTTACAAGAATATCATTCAATCAGTAATGAAAATAACGTATAAATTTTATACACTCAATAACAAACACCCAGATTATAATCAACTCACTACTTTCCACACATTTCATAATGTAATAAAAAAAAAAGAACACTATAACCTGATTTATATTATTTATCTCACAGGCACAAGCAAGCCTTAACATTGGAACGGCTATGGCTTACAGAATAATGTACAAACTAAGCTCAGCTGGAATAAAGGATTTTCAATGAAGAAGTTTTTATGCAATTTGAGATCAAGATTTGTCAAGAGTGCTCAGAGCAAACTAAGCAACAAATGTTTGCTGTATACTTTGCTAACAAAAACCAGAATAAAAAAACTAGAATATTGCATCTGCATATGTAACAATAAATGTGAAGATTGGTTATTATATTTATAACCCTCAAGTTCTGAAAAGTAAAGTGTCTCTATAGTTTAATCACCTTATGAACAGTGTTTGCAGCACAAAATACATACAATGTAACAAACAAAATCAATCAACATTAGTACTAGAATAGGACCATATGATGCTACCTTGAACCTAAATTATGAAGACTTTATATAATCACACTAGAAGAAACCACTGTTTGTATATTTATATCATAAAATTACAATATTATCAAGTTATTCCCAAAGTAAAACTTATGAAAAAAAACAAAAAAACATGACATTTGTTTCCACAGCGTAACACATTAAACACTAACCTCCTACATTCCAGAAACATTTGTATTAAAAATATACCATAAGCTAACATAAAGAACTTTTCAAGCTGGAAACAGAAGAATGGTACATGTATAACATTGTCTAAATGAAGCAAATTACATAAATGTAAATTCAGGGGGGGTATGTGCAACATATGCTTACTCCAGTATCTGAAATAGCTCCATTGAAAAATAGAAGGTAAACTAAATAAATAACATTAAAAATACCATTAAATATATGCATTCAATATGCAGGACAGTTTGTACATTCATAATAACCATGAATCATAAAGCTATTAGTTATGACACCAGGCCAATCATTTCAAGTCACAAACTTCAGAGATTGTGATATTTTGAAAATTTTTTGAAGTGTTCAATGCATTTTATATGACACCTCTTATATTCTCTTATCCAAACTGTGAAATTAAAAAAAAATTTGCAATTCATAATAACAAAGCATGTTTGCTAAGTGAAAGCTTTATAAAGTACATTATCTTTACCTTTCTGTAGCATTTTATAACACTTGTAAGTCATTTTAGAAAAGCATAATTTAAAGACCACTCATGAATTTTATCACAATTTTATGACTATTGTAAATATTAGTAAACAGACACGTTTTAAGATTTAGAGTACAATTTTTAATATGCTTGTCAAATTGAAACTTCATAAAAGAATGTTAATTTTTTGTTACACTTACTCTACAAATTATGATATAATTTATCATAAGATGCTTACTTGAACATTTCTTTGACATTTTGTCTGTCTGACTTAACAAGTGTTTGTATTGATGTAATTATTATTATTATTATTGAATTACAGACAATTACAGTCCATAAGTTAGTGTTAATGAGCTATAAACTTAATAGAAAGCTACATAACTGGATAAATGAATATACACTAGAGAAGTATAACACTATTATGTTTCACCTTTTGTTTTCAATATCTTCAAACACAATGGGGTTAATGGTCCCAATCAAAGTTTTTTTTTTATAAAAGCAGCTTTCAACTGATTTAAAGGAGGGAACAATCTGTCTTTTTAAAACATTTATATAATTTCTTCTTCACTCCAAACTAGTAAGAAAGATGTTTTCAAAAATAACTTTAGATGAGAAACAGTATCCAAAAAGTTAGCAGATTTTCTTTAACTACTATCCAAGAATTTCCAATTTTGGTGGTAGTAAAGAACAGCACATTGACTTAAAAAAATATATATGTATGTTTGTATGCAAGTCCACAGTGTTTGGACACAACTTATGATTTGAAATGAGTATTCTTAAATGTAACTTTTAATAACTTCTTGTAAAATAAATTTTTTCTGTCTCTTCATTCTAAATAAAAACAACAGTAGGAATCTTTTTTGGCAACCACAAGTTATTATAAATAACCCATTCTTTAAGTGTCTACATAACTTACCAACATGACATCATTCTAAAATTTAAATTTTATACTAAGTGATGAAGAAAGCAACATCAGAAGCTGTTTTGAGAATATATCATTAATCAATTCTCAACATTATCACAAAAATTTAGCAGCACACAATAACAAAAGAGTCTAATTCTTGGACAGCAGATACTACAAGATGAACACAGTAGTTTAACAACACCATTCTATGAGAAGTGTTTTCTGTTCCCAGCATGGACACAGTGCTATACAAGAGAAGACACATCTCTCACTGTCTGGTCCAAGGCATGCAGCAAGTCCTCTCCTTGAAGAAGATGGTTTGAATGAATGGGGGCATTAACTTCTGCATCATGCTGTGTAATGTCAGCCAAGGATGGAATAGCTGAACCTTCTGGATCAAGAAGTGCTGACAGATTCACAGATTTTAGCATTTGGTCTTCAAACCTTGATGCCAAAGGAGACTGCGGGCAAGACTGTTGAACAAATAAACAAGATTTTAATATTTAGATACTTTAATACTTAGAAATCATAGATACTTAAAAACAACAACGACAAAAAAACAAACAAAAAACTACTGTTTTCCTTAACCCTCTATATACGGGTACTTTTCTGCACATTGCAATGTTTCACAAAGTTACATTCAAAATTTAATTAACCAAATGTGCATGGGGTTAATCCACTGGACTTACTCCATATCGGAGAAGTAATGTTGACTATACTACATGTATCTACAAAAAAATTAGTGAAACATACAAGTCTGTTGTATACAAAAAATCAGATGTGTTACAAAAATATGTTTGTAAATTGACTATGACAGTCACACTAAGACTCTGATATATTGGAGAGCAAGGTGACTTTTAGGTGAAGAGTAAAAATACTTTTGTTTATTGTAAAGTTTGCATATTGCATTTACATAACTTCTACAACCTACAAAATACACATCTATAGTTTTTTCAGCATCCATGTATATTGTATTTGGTATTTATTTGCCTCTTTCACAAACTGTTACTAAATCAGCCATGTTGGGTAAAATGAATAGGTAATAACTCTTACATCAAATATATAATACTATATTGAATGGCTCTGGAAGAGGTCATAACATGTGCATTTTGATCCCCATCTATGTACACAAGGTTAAACAGTTTTATTATCAACAGATGTCAATAAAATTAGCATCAGTGTGTAGTTTATAATTCAAATTTATATATTATCTAAGTTTTAATTTATAAATTGCAAAAGAATATATTTAAAAATTTCTCACTCTTCATTTCTGTATTATGTGACATGTCTGTGTTTTGAATTCTCCTCTTTTAGTTTGTATAACTTCAATATTATAGCACCTACACTGTCTGACTTATTCTAGACACAATTTATACACAATTCTAAGGTTCAATGTACTGGTTCAACATGCTAACTTATCCCTGTAGTGAGAAATAAAGTTTCTTAACCCACAACAGAAGCCCTGCCCATCTATACTAACTTTCAAGGCAGCTTTCAAAAAGCCATGTGCTCTTAGTTGATGTGCATGTGTATAATCATTAGAAAGAGCTTATTTTAAACCTTCAATGATTCTTTTGAAATTGGCTCCAAGAGAAGTTAGCCTAGTAAAGGATTTCATGGTACATGTTTGTATAAGAGTTGACTCTCATAACATTTAACAATTTCCACCTCCCTTAAGTAGCTTAGTTGGAAAAACTAGTTAAATTATATTTATTTTTGGACATTATATTTCAGTGATATATGTATTATTTATGTTTTAAAATGTATACTTGAAAAGTATATTAATTTTTCTGTCTACAAGAACTTACAGAAAAAAAAGGCTTAGATAACTATTAGTGCACGAGTCTAACGCTGCACATCTAAGTTTATGGACATCTGCTAATGTAATGTGTTGTTTTTCAGGCATGAAAAAGACAGTGTATAGAGCCAGGTAGTAAAACTATAAATATAAAATAAATAAATGTAAGAAGGTATGAAGTTGAAATTGTGAAGATAATTAAATATAAGATAAAATGACAAATAATTCATTCAAAGAGGAAGAAAATGTTCATTTTAATTCATAATTTTCATATCACTGTACATTGATGATTTAGCTACAAACAGTTTTAGGGAAGAGAATGTAACAGGTAAAAAAAATTTACCTTAAAAAACTTTTGATATTCACACAAATGAAATTTGTCAGATGAAAAAAAAAGGTAATTTTATTCCTAGCATTAAATCACCTTGCACCCAGATTGACTCAGTAAATGCTTCAGAAATTCAGACAAATTTAATATAAATACTTTATAAAAATTCTAATTTTTTGTATAATACACAATGTTTATCAAAAACATGTCAAATTTCATGAAGGTAAACTTATCAAATTCAGAGTCCTAGTATGTAAAGCATTATGATATTCAAGCTCATGTAAAATGACCAACCCATGCTTGGAGGTTCAATAATGACATAAAAATATATTAAATATTATTAAGTATTAATCCCAAAATTGGACTAAAATATACATCTTATAGTTTATTGCAATGCAATGAATCTACCAACATGTAAATGACTGCATCATATCGTAAATAAAATAGCATTATATATAAAATAAATTAATATATGTCTGAAACTATATCAATTACTGCTCTGTTTGCCTTATACATTTAATATAACAGTGCTTTTATTCAGCATTTTATGCCTAATTTTCACATTCTGTTTGGTTTGCAGTTGAGAAACTACCTTATTGGTGCATAAAATAAGCCTTTACATAATTTAGTTGCATTACGGAAAAAAACTACTAAACTCAATGTAATTTTATAATATATTCAAAGATATCTGTACTTTTTAGATTGCCTACAAAGTTCCTTGGAATGAGTTGGTTAAAATTTTATCTTTCAACAATGAGACCACAATAAATGTATGAATTCCAATAGTTCCAGCCATTTGCAGTATTCTTTTCCTTTTTCTCAAATAACATGTAAATGAAAATAATGAAGTTTGCAAGCACTCTCATAGTCTAATGCTTTGATTTATGAATACTTTTATGTATTGTGTAATTTAAATTAGTGAAGTCTTATTATATCCACTCCCATTTGAAAAGCTGGATGGCATAGCTATTTGTTTGTATGTATGTATGGTTGTTTGTGTGATAATAATAAAAAAAAAACTTGTATAATTTTCAAGAGCATAATAAAATAAGCCATGATAAAACAAACTCACATATTTTTACTGAGTGTTCTGTATAAAAATGGAATTCTTTTTTATTAAAACTTGAACAAAAATTTGAAGTTCAAAATTAATCACAAGCAAAATTCAACCACTCTCTGAATAAATAATAAAAAATAATTAAACTGTGCATCTAAAACCTGAACTGGAAATGGAATTATCAATTTGAACAGCACTTTACTTGCATGAGAACTAAATGGCCAAATCCAGAACTCTAGAATTCAGGTACTTATTTTTAAACTATTAACTACAGGGAAAGCAGCCAATCAGAAGAACATACCAGTTGTTTGAATGAAATAATAGCACTGACTGTCAATTTTATAACACATACACAGTTGAAAGTATGTTCACCAGCATCACATCGTGAAATTTGCCACTAATCATTAAGCCATGCTCGGCCCATTTAGAACTTAAATAAGTTTTAATTTTGGATTGTGTGAGAAATGTTAATAAAGTTCAGCAACTAATCTGTAACTATAGTTTGTCCAAAAGCTAATTGAAACATATGAAGTGCTATGATTAGGCTTAAAATTTCCTGTTTTTATCAAATTTAACTAAATTTTATGAATTGAAAACACTTAAATCATTTAAAAAAAGTTGTTCGAATTATGATGATATCTTGCACTTCACCGCATAATGTTCAACTGTTATTTCTGAGGTAGAAGAGTAAATTTTTTCAAATTACCAAGTTTCCACTCAAACACTTACCTTAGTGTCCATTTTGGTATTATAGGTAATGTATCCATGACTGGTATCTTCTCCATTAATTAACAAGTTTAGTAGCACACTAGCATTTGTATGACAAGTTTCATCTAAAAAAAAACAACAACTAAGATTTAATGTACAAATAACATTAAACAAAATTACACTGTTACAAATTTACAGAGAATCTAATAAGTTGTAACAAAATTAGGCATACAGTTTTAATAAAATGACATCCACTACTCACAAGAAGTTGGATCATAAATCACAACATTCTGATTCAATCCTTATGCAACAAAAAAAAAGAAATGTAAGTAAATTAATGTTATAAATTAAAATCATTAAATTTTCTAGGAACACAATTTTTATTCTAATGGGACAAAACACATTTAGCTGTACATATCTTGGTTACTTGATTTTAAGCTTGAAAGTTGAATTTTTGCATTTTAGAAGACTCCATAAATTCACCAAAATTTGATGATGCATCAAATAACAGATAAAATAAACTTTACTTTAAAGCACAATTGTGGTAGCTGAACGAAACTTAACTTCACCTTAATAAATTTGTTGTAGCTAAATAAAATTTGACCATCTCATGTTTAACACAGTTGTGGTAACTAAATGAAACTTACCCTCACCTTAATAAACTTGTTGTAGCTAGATAAAACTTAACCTCAACTTAATAAACTTGTGGTAGCTGAACGAAACTTAACTTCACCGTAATAAATTTGTTGTAGCTAAATAAAATTTGACCATCTCATGTTTAACACAGTTGTGTTAACTAAATGAAACTTATCCTCACCTTAATAAACCTGTTGTAGCTAGATAAAACTTAACCTCAACTTAATAAACTTGTGGTAGCTAGATAAAACTTAACCTCAACTTAATAAACTTGTGGTAGCTAAACAAAAATTAACCTCAATTTAATAAACTTGTGGTAGCTAAATGAAAATCGAAAACCTCATGTTTAACATAGCTGTGGTAGCTAGACAAAAGTTAACAATTTCTCCTTAATAAACTTGTAGTAGCTATGTAGCTAAATTAAAATCAACATGTTTAATGCAGTTGTAATAGCTAAATAAAACTTAACAACTTCAACTTAATAAACCTGCAGTATCTAAATGAAAATTGACAACCTCATGTTAAAAGCAGTTGTTGTAGCTAAGTGAAAATCAACAGTCTCATGTTTAAAGTAGTTGTAGTATCTAGATGAAACTTAATCTAAATTTAATAAACATGTAGTAGCTAAATGAAAATCAACAACCTCATGTCTAACACAGTTGTAGCAGCTAAATCAAACTTGATAATAAATTTAACAAAGTTTTAATAAGTGGATGAAAATCAACAGTCTGAAGTTTAACATTACTGTGGTATCTAAATTAAATCTGAAAACCTCTCCACTATTTTTCCAATTGCACATAGCTTGGAGAAGGTTCAATTTTTATTTTTTTTAAGAATAGGCTTATTAAGCTCTATCAAAGTTGAATGTTTCTTTCATGTTACTTAGATATTACTGATTTATGTTCGTTGCTCTTAGTGTGTTCCTTCATCTTGAGACCCAATTTCTAGGTACTGTAAAGAAGTGTGAACTTTATTATCATCTGTTATTATGGTACTCATAAAGAAAACGATTACTTATTAATACACTCAAATTAATGTTAAGAATGATACAAATATTAGAAACAATAAGTTTGGTTTTTGAAACTTCATTAGTTTTTTAATACATTGTAAAATTTTTCTTTTAAAGATTTTATCTTTGAGATGCGAGTCCACTGGACTCATTCAATACACTAAAGGTTAAAGTGGATAATAGTATGAATCTCAATTCAGAAATAATACAGTTTAACACAGAGGATACTAAAAAAGAACACACATTATTTAAATAAAATAAAGTTTAAGAGCAACTGTCTGCACACTATAGTTTACACAAACTCTTAGAATTCTAAGGAAAAAAGATACTTACTTGTTGAGTGTCCACTTTCAAATTTCATTCTTTTAGGACTATTCATGGGTGCTTGAAAGGTAGCACCAGTTCTCTTAAAGGGCATATCCTTCAGAGCACTGATAAACTGTGCGGTTTCTGCTGTGTTAGCTAATTCATCAACTAATGTTACACAAACTTTGGGTAAATTAAAGTGTTTCCTATGGTCTCCGCTAATAGGACTCAACACTTCCTGGGCTATAGGTAAGTTCTCTGTAAGAACTATTTTTCCATTACTAGTCACGTATTTGTAGCCAGCTCTACTAGATCCCCCTCCATGATCGATAGCAGATGAAGACAAGCTTCGACTACTAATGGCTCGTAGGTTCTTACATCTTTTATCCATGAGTAACATTGATCTGTCCTTACGACTTCGAATGCCTTTTCCATAGCTTCCCATGTGTGAATTGGGAGACAGAGAGGTTGTGCTGGCAGCTGGAGAGATCCTTGGCGATGAGATGGCATCTTCCAAGTCAAATACAGGCCGACAAGGGCTGAAATATAACAAATACAATTTACCAACACACTTTCACATATAAATTCCAAAATTACATCTCTGGTTAAAACTGTTTTCCATTTTGTTTATAGATCTTGGAAAACACTAGCACAAACTGCTTCTGTCCAACAGTAAGATTACTTCCTTAATTTAACTTCAGTTTTGATGAGTAGCTTTTAATTTGATAAATGTACTGAAGGTTTATTACCTTCTTGTAACATTTTGAATAATAAACCACCTCTGTTGGACCCTGACAATTGATCGCGCCAGTTAGTTTTTATAATTTTTCTCTATGTGTATAAACTTTTGTTGTTGTTTGAAACTTTTTTCAAAATTGTACAGCTCTTCTTAATAGAAACCTATGATGAATCAGTTATGTTTTTTAAATCATCAGAATATTGTGGTGTCTTATCTTGCACCAATAACCTAAAAATAGTCATGCATTTGAGCTAAGGCATTGTATAAGATTTAACCCTCTCACTACAAATTGGTCAAAGTGCACATGTTACAACATGAATTACATTCAAAATTTAAACAAATTACTTTATTATCATTGTACATAAATTAAGTTTTTAATTTTATAAGGAAATATTTAAAAAAATTCTCCACCTCCCTTAGCATGAGAATTGTCACATTTGCTCTCTAGGTCTTCCCTCTTCTCTAATTTAATTATCACCCCTCTGAGAAGTACAGAAGTTAATGTAAATTACTCATCATAATACAGATATTACTCAGGCAAAGCAAGCATAATTTTTATAGCCTTCAACCATATTTATTTAAAGAGCTGTAAACTAGAAATTCAGACCCACTTGTCAAATCCTATCTTTCACAAATTGCCAATAGCTCTCTCTGACGTTTTATACTATATTACGTATAACCAATACAGAGTCAAAGCTTTTATCTATTAAATAACATATTCTATTGATTTCTGTACAGGGCATTGTTTATTTCATCATTCAGTTTCAAAAGCTCTTATCGCATAGTTAGAAAGCCAGAAAAATTATTATAGTTATAGGACATTGTCTGCTTTTTGCATTTTATTATTTTGTGTTCTTAGGTGTAGTACTTAATTAAATAAAACATTACTTAGTGTGATAGTAACATTAGGATAAAAATGTAGGTTTAACTTTCATCAACAATTGACAGCAAAAACAACACAAAAAAGGGGGAAAAAAAAAGAGAAGATCCAGGTGAGTACTAGATTTCTTGTTTTTCATGTGTATTCTATATATATTATTATAAAAGTAACTAAAATGTAAAAATAGGTAACTTATTAGGTTAGACAAGGTTAGATGTACTCAAACTTTCATTATCTTTTCATAATAAAATAGTGAGACTGCTAGTACCTATGGCTCAAAGATCTCCTCCGAGGATATCCTTGTGGTCCACACATCTTGTTCTCAGAAAGATTCAGAAGTGGGCAATCATCTATAGTGCTCATGGGGATGTAAGGTGCTCTTTCAAATAACTCTTCATCCTATAAAAATATATATCTTTATCACCAAAAATAAAAGTTTCCATTTAAAGTCACAATATATATCTTTATCACCAAAAATAAAAGTTTCCATTTAAAGTCACAATATATATCTTTATCACCAAAAAGAAAAAGTTTCCATTTAAAGTCACAATATATATCTTTATCACCAAAAAGAAAAAGTTTCCATTTAAAGTCACAATATACATCTTTATCACCAAAAAGAAAAAGTTTCCATTTAAAGTCACAATATACATCTTTATCACCAAAAATAAAGTTTCCATTTAAAGTCACAATATACATCTTTATCACCAAAAATAAAAAGTTTCCATTTAAAGTTACAATGAACTTCTTTTCATAAATTCAAAATTTCATATCAAAATTGTTTTTGAATACCAATTTCTTGTAATTCTTTATCAAAAACAGTTATCTACTTTGTTTCTTACGGTTTTATGTTTTCTCTAACATATAAATGTGGCTCAAAAGTCAATGTTCACATCACATTTATTTCAAAATGTAAAGAACTTCAAACACCTAACTGTTAGGAATTGATGTTTCAACTTTTTTCACATGTCCTCAAGAAAATGATGAAGACAAATTGATGCTTCATTCAACTTTAGAATTATATTTTTTACTCAAATAAACAAAAACATTTGCATATCATTCTTCCCTTAGATCTATAAATTACCATACTTGTCAGATATGTACATAAACCTTGAAAATACTGGGATTAAACTTGACAGAATAAAAACATAATATAAAAATAACAGAAAGGTTAATTAATACTGGCTTCTACATAAACCAAAGTAGGCTCGGCAAAATTCTTGACGAGAGGACTATAATGTTGAGGATGTTTATAACATGTTTATGTGTGGGTGTGATCAGATGTATTCTTCAAACCACTTTTACAACTTTATCAATTTCAGGTATAAGAGAAACTAAACTGTAAATAAAAAAAGCATATTTCCTAAATAACATGAAAAAACTAAATGGAAATGCCAAAATTACCTATTCTTCAAATCTAAATGTGTTGATTAAAGGACATTATGAATACCAAACATATAAAATTATTTTCAACACTACAAGAGGTCCAGTTTTATTTTGTGGTCTGCTCATGGCTAGGGTTTTGGTGAAATATAGAAATCCCTGTTATTGTTCTAACTCAATGCTGAGATGAATCAGTATGTTTCTTTTTACACTAAATATCACAAGAAAAGTTACAACAGGAATATTTTTGTATAACTACAAACAGAAACTTCTTAATAAATAGCTTAATAGAAAAAAAATCTCAGAAGATAAGAGCTACATAACTCTGTATCATTAACATCAGATATAAGTAAGTTTTTCAAAAAAACTTTTTTTAGTACATATTCTACCTAACACCAGATTATTTGTTTGTTTGTTTTTGAATTTTGCACAAAGCTACATGAGGACCATCTGCACTAGCTGTCCCTAATTTAATCCCCACAGCTGAAAGTGAGCATGTTTGGTGGGACAGGGATTCAAACCCGCAACACTCAGATCATGAGTCAAGTGCCCTAACCACCTGGCCATGCCGGGCCCCACCAGATTATGTTAAGTTAAAAATGTTTTCTTTGATTTTTGCTGAAGCACAAAACTTGTATGTTTACTTATTAGTAAGTGGCACTGGCTTGGTACAGAAATTTTAAATTTTATGACGAGTGATGAACTTAACTTTTCATAACTAAAAAATAAGCTGATATTTTATTTATTCTGTTTTACACTAGATATTTCCAAAAGTTTTCATTTATCAAATGTGTTACTTCATGTTTACCACAAGTGCACATATTTACTTAACTACATGGCACTTTGATATGACTAATTAGTCTATTTGTTACCTAACAATATCCAAGTATTAATTCTATAACATGCTGGATATAATACATATTAAAGAAATGGTAATACCAAACAGCATCTTTAATACGGACATTTCAGAATTTCCTTAAATTCTACCATCAGAGTTAATATCTCAAAAAAAAATTAGTTCATAATATTTGAACTACAAAAAACAACATTAGCATTGAGCGAGTTTTCATGTTCAATCAGAAGTTTAGAAAGAACAGATTTAAATGGTGACAATATAATGGAATGTATAATAAAATGTGCACCATACATATTTGATAAATAACATTGTGAAGAGAGACTACTATAGAGAAAGGCTTAAATATAAGTATAAACACCGAATCTTTAAAATAATAATAAATATAAAATAAAAACACAGAGTCCAGAATTGATTATATTAATGACAACAGTGAGGAGTTTATGTTATTATTTAGTGTTGGGTGATCATTGAAAATTGAGAGGCTTTCTTTAATAGAGCTCGTAATCTGTGGTTCTGGTGTCGAGAATTTAAAGTTTCTAGAATTATGGGGTGGTTGTTA